TCTAGGGACAATCTCATTCTCCGGTCCCTGGGGCCTCGGGCAGTGTTGATCTTGCTGTGGCGATCTCTCTTGCTAGTCCTCCTTCTCGGGATCTGCGGCTGATCATCCATGTACACGTGATGGCCATTTTTGTTGGAATCCCAGTCCACCATTTTAATGTTAACACTTGTAGTAGTAGTCTTCTGATGATCAACCCCTACGACGGTACCGGTGTTGTCATCAGCGGCAGTGGCGGCAGCGGCAGCAGCAGCAGCAGCAGCGGCGGCAGTGGCGGTAGCCGCAGCAGCAGCTTCCTTCATAAAATAAGGTGGTACTTGAGACTCGTGAAGCGAAATCCCAATATGGTCAGGTTCTTGGTGATGGTGTTGCTGAAAGAGTAAAACGTCGTCGTCTTCAAACGGAGAGGGGAAGTAGAGCAAAGACAAAGGAGGGTGATGATGTTGTTGATGAAGGTTTTCTTCTCCTCCTTCTTGTTGTTGCCCGGAGTTGGGATTGGGGTTGGAATTAGTAAAGAAATTGGGGGTTACTGTAGTAATGTCATGGTCAAATGGCCGGCTGTGGAAAAATGGTTGATCGACATGAGGATAAGACACGGGTATTAATTCGTTAACATTACTGGTGTTGTCTGAGGGAAACATGTTATATATCTCCCTCTTGGGCTCTTTGCTTGTTTGGTTGCTTTGAATTTTCAATGAAATTGCACACCACTAACCCTAGCTAGCTAGCAGCTAGTGGTCAATTAGTACGCTTGGGATATCGGTCTACTGATGATCGAGACTTGCGCTTTTATAACGGCTTGATGAGGAAGCGATTGCCGCTGAATGTGATTTCAGTGCACTTGTTTTTCACCTTTTCTGCAAGATTAGTAAATGAAAATTAAGGGAAGGGATAGCTTTGAGAAAGACAGCCGTGTGTTACCGTATTTACGGCCAGCTGAGCTTAGCTTAAGAAAGACAGATGCTGCCTGCGGTGCTACTCATATATACCTCTATATGCTTGTACATATATGTATATATATTGTACGTATATGTATATATGCACACCTTTACTATATGTACTGGATTTATTTAGTTTCTTTTTGTGTGTGCGCGAGAGAGAGAGAGAGAGAGAAGGCTAGCTAGCTAGAAAAAGACAGACAGAGAGATCGTACATTTACCATCGGTCGTCATCGTAGGAAATAGAGAGGTTCAGAAAGACAGCACAGCAAGAACACCATATGTCCATGGGGGTTGAACTCTTGAATCACAGGGGGAGAGAGAGAGAGAAAGAGAGAGAGAGGGAGAGAAGCTAGTAAGGAAGTGGTATGGTAAAGAAGCAAAGGAGGGTAGGGGGCAATTTATTGCTGAGTAGCTATCTTTTTCTTAATCTTTTCATCAAAAAGTTAGCTCTACAATTTAGAATATCACTGTGTTTGAAAGGAAGCGAGTGGATAGGAAAACACCTAGTATTTGGCACCACCACTTCACGTGGTTTGCAGGTCGCCCGGTATAGATCAATTCAATAACCTAGCTTCTCTCTCTCAAAATATAAAGACCTTGCGTAGACACACAGTAGCTAGATAGTGTTACACATACATGGAGATGGAGAGTGGATTTTGGGGTTTGTTTTGGGAAGATTCAACTAATATTCCATAATTAAGGGCTCGTTTGGATGTGCTTTTAAAATAATTAAAAGTACTTTTAGAGAAAATGTTTTTGAATTCCAAAAGCACCTTAAGTGCTTTATGCAAGAAGCACTAATTATGTGCTTCTTTCAGAAAACACTTTAAGTGTTTTTCCAGAATTTACTTGCATTTTTACTAAGGATTGGTTCTAAAAATATTTTCACCAAAAACGCTTCCAGTCATATTAAAAGTACATACAAACGAGCTCTAACACTTATTCTTCTTCATTGAATATTGTATGTGGAGTGATGTCCCACGTCAAAAAGTTAAGCGATCTTGCATATCCTTATAACGAGCAGGGTTATTCTCCATATTGCTAATTAATTTTCTAGTGAAACCTCAAAATTCTTAAATGTTATTAGAGACAATTGGCTCACACGTGAAGCACAATAGCCACACATGATTCATGCAACCTAATATGTATTGCTTACGTGTTTTATTTGACCATTGCCACATGTAACGGGCATGTGAGAATGTGATGTGTTGTCCCATGTCGAAAAATTAAGCAACCTTACAAATTCTTAAAAGAAGTTTAGTTACTCCTCGTATATGATATTTGTTTACAGTTTCAGTTTTGATGCATATCATCATACAAGTCACATTGTTTGCATCACTAATTTTCACTAGTTAGAATAGTCCTTGTATTAATCATACACAACTCACATGAGAAGTCAACAATATCAAAAGCTAAGCAAAATATAAGAAAAAATCTGTATGTGTTGCTCCAAGCATAGCTAGGTTTTGTCTTCTCTCCTTCTTTTGTCTTTTTTGTTATACATAATGATACTAATGTATGAAGTATGAACCTCCCCGTGGCTGTCCAACCCTAGGAAAGGACAATTATTTAACTCAAAGGGGCACACCAACTGTGAGGCATGCCCTCTCATAGGGCAAATACTCCTTTGACTGGGGCATCTCCATTCATGTCGCTGTCACCAAAAGGGAAAGAAGCCTCATCTCTCTCTCTCTCTCTCTCTCTCTCTCTCTCACTGAGTACGTATGTCTATCTAAGAATGTTGTCTCCCATCCCATGCGTTCTTATCAGCTTAAGCTTTTTTAACGAAATGAAAGTTAAAAAAACTCTCTCTCATTGTCAAGAAAAGAGTTGCTTATGCTAGCACTTGCCATTGCCCTATAGCAAGACCTTCTAAGAGCCCTAGCCAATGAGGAAAAGACACACACAACCTATCCCATCATTTTATATGAATATACCAGTAGTCCTATCGATAATTGAAAGCCCTCTTTGCATATATATATATATATATATATGCATACATACATACATACATACATACATATATATATATATAATACCCTACTATTTCCCTTTCTTTCTCAAATTTTATTTCCATTTTCACATGCCGTTCTCTCCCCACTTATATAAGGATTAGGATTATCTCCTATTCTCTTTCCATCATTTTCCATTCCTTGTTCTCACATTTTCTATTTTGTCTTTATCTTTTTATAAAAAATTAATATAAGATGTTAATATAGCTTAACCGTGACCGTTGAAATATGAGGAGAAGAAAAGGGAGGAAAGAAAAGAGGGGAGATAACCCTACTTCTTTATGGACATTAACCACCTCTCTCTGTCCCTCTCTCTGTCTCTCTAGCCTAGTTTTAGCTAAAGCCTGACCTCTTTAGACTGGCATAATAACAAGGACCACATAATGTACCGTGGTTGTTCTAAGGTTGCTTTCAAGGAGAAGATAACTATGAAAGTAAAGGGGTGATGAGTGTACCACTTCTTAGAGTGGGTGCTATAATGTGAGTGTACAATAAAACCCTAAAAAGTCCATGGTTACATTGGTTGCTAGTCTAAGTGCTTTCATTTCCTTGCGGGCGAGGCTCTCTGCCCTGTCTGTACCATGTTCAAATCTGTGGTTCAAAAATAACCACCTTAGCTTCCATCACATGAGCTTGCTACTCATCAGATTCATTTGGAATATTATGTGAATGTGATCCATCATTTGAGTTTTGTAGGGGATGCACCATTTGCCACATTTAGCAAAGGAATTTGGGGGCCCTTGTGTGGGACAAGTTCTTGTGCAGTGCCTATTTCTGGTTATTACACCTCACTTAAGTCAATTTTCGGTCTATTTCCTGGAGTTTTCTTGTCCCGAAAGTAGTTTGTTTATGTCTAATTTGATGTTGTAACAGCTAAAGCATTTCAGAGGCACCCACATATATGGATGATGGGGAAAGAAAGTCCACATGTTCTTTTTTATCCTGATTATGCTTACTACTGATATTATCTTTCTACTTCATGATTTCCGACTTAATATAAAATTAATGATTAACAACGTTTTACACCCTTGAGGTTTGGGATGACCTATTTATAATGTTTTTAACCCTAGAAATTCCCTAGACATCTAAATAGAAAAGAGAATAAACAAATAACAAAATATCAAAATTGTACTAAAATAATAAAACCCCATTTTTGGCAATTAAAAGTTGGAATTCGTCTAATTCTAACTGGACACGTTGTTGTGTCAATTTGGACAACACAAGAAGTCAACATCCAATTTCGGGTGGGTTACTAATTTTTCATTTATTTTTCTTGATTGCTCTAGTCCAACCTCTTATAAACTTATCTAAGGTCACTCATCCTATCAATATACGACTTATTCTCAACAAGCTCTTTCACATGTGGTGAATTTTCAAGTTAACACGTAGATAACAGAACGGGGTGACGTGAAGTCTGTGTGACCATTTGACTTTATACGTGGGACAATCTACTCTAATACCATGAAGAATTTGACGTTTCATCATAAAACGAATTGGCGATATGAGGAATAGCCCAACCTTTTGTAAGAGCAATTCCACCCCTAAAAAATAAGTTGGCCCAAACTCTATTTAATCCACTCAAATGAATAGTAATTGATTGAAATAAATAGTAATTGGCCAAGTGCATCTCCATCCCTAAAACTAAATAGCCTAGTCCATTTTATTAAAATATTATTAATTTTCTATTATAAAATAATAATTTTATTATAAAATAATTTTAAAAAATAATTTTATTTTTAATTTCTGACAATTTTTATTTATAAAAAATATTATTAATTTCTGACATTTTATTTATTTATTTATTAAAGTTTTTTGGCTGAAAAATCTGCACCGTTGATCTGAGAATCGAACGGTTTAGATTGTACCATGTCCCCGTCCCAAATTATTGTACTTTTTGTCGAATATTTTTGTGTTTCGTCCCTTACGTTATTAATTTACAAACTGTGGGACCCACATGAGATTTTTGTCCCCTTTTTGGGATTTTCTTATCCCTTTTTTATTATTTTAAAATCTCTCTCACTATCTTTCTTTCACAACTCTCTCATCATTCTCCCTCTCTTCACCCCCGGATCCCCTCTCCCCTATGCCTTTTCCCTCGGAAAACTCTCCCTCACCTCTCCGTGACTCACTCACACACACACACACACACAATGACCCCAAACCAATGCAACGAGGACAAAAGAGCTTTAGAAACCCCGTGACAAGCTGATGAACCATCTAGCAACGCTGTCACTGTTCATCATCTTCCCCGACATGTTTTCATGATTTTCGACATTGGTAAGCTTCTAGAAACTCTTGGGATGTGTTTTAAGGTTAGATCGAAGCTTGTTTGAAGTTGTACATACGTGTAAATAGTAGAAAATAGCTCAAAGTAGTTTTTCCAAACTTTCCGACGAGCACCGCCCCTTTCAAGGAGATTTTCGGCCAAACTACAGCGATTTAGCTGGTGTGCAAGGTATCAATCTCTTCATCTTGTTTAGTACTACAACTTTGGTTTTTGTATCACTTGATTTGGTTGAGTAACGAAGAAGTTACAAGTGTTTGAAAACGAGCCCAGAAATTGGCCAAAGCGTGGCCTGAAAACAGGTCAACCCGACCCAATTCCCTCAAACCCAGATTCGAACCCAGGTTGGGACTCAGCCTAACCTTGCAACCCAACCCAAATCATTGGGTCCAGCCCTTAGGCCTGACCCAAAACCAAAACCCCCAAACGTTTGGGCCGGGCTTTTAAGCCCAAGCTCGTGTGAGCCCAAACCATTAACCCCAGTCAACCTAAACCCTTTTGGACCCAGGCCTTGGGCCGTTTGAACTTGGGCCTGAGGCTTGATAACCCCAAACCCAAACCCAGTTGGCATATTCCGAGGAAAATTCTTGTGTTGACTTTTTCGAAATTTACCCATAACCCTTCTTAGGGTAATTCGACGTCCTGAATCTGTTTTTTATGTCCATTTTCCCAAATTCAATCATTTTATTAGAGTTTTATTAATTGGACCCTTTATGTGCTTAGGAGTGTTTATTAGCGGTGATTCCTTTCGTCCTATTTCACACGGTTCTTCAACGACGAAGTATCTGTGAGTGGACTTCTTCTAAAATGCATGTTTTAATAGTAGAAATGCATACATGAAAAACATGATTTAATGGTTACATTTATGAAACGTTTTAGGAGTAAATTAGATTTACACTTTATGATTATCATGCTTTACTGAAAATATTTTAGGATGCCATTCTTTATCAAATTTATGTTCTTTGTAGTGTATATGATGGATAACTATATACTATTTATGAACATGTTTTTACACTCTTTATAGTATGTATGATGGATGACTATATACTATGAAGATGCTTTGAGATATATGTACTTATGTTGGAAAAATTATATTCAATGTTTTTGTGCGTATCTTGTGGTCACTATTCTGCCTACGGGCGATGATACTTATATTGGCTTCGGCTAGGCGTAGGTTGGTGGCTTCTGCCAAGAGATACTTATATTGGCTTAAGCCGGGTGTAGGTTGGTGGCTTCGGCTGGGAGATACTTATATTGGCTTTGGTCGGGAGATAGTTATATTGGCTTTGGCCAGGCCTAGGTTGGTGACTTCAGCCGTATGACACTAATATATGATACCACTAGTTAGCACATTATACGATATATGTTTTATGAAAGTTTTATGGCATGCTAGGGTTTTCGGAAAACATATTATATATTACACTATATGAGTTTTCATAAACTTTGGGGGTTAGTACGTTGTTGAAAAATTATGTTCGTACTATTCATATATCAACTTGGTATATTCATGTTTGTATTGCACCCCCTCAAGACATAGGAACGAGGCATACGATCCGAGCTATGAGGCATTCCTTTACCAGTGACATCGTGCCATCCTCTCTGCTTTGACATCACTTGTAATAGCACATTCCGCTTATATTCTTAAGTAAATGTATGCTCTGAACATGTTATGCATTATCACTATCATTATCATTGTTGGTAGTTGAATATTATTATATTATTTTATAAGGTTTATGCTGGAATATTATATTGCGTAGTTCGCGTGAAATTTACATGCATGTTTCATATGTTCTTAACATATACATTCATTAAATGGCTTGTGTCACCCTCAGGTGTCGGCCAGCACGCGCCCATCCCAATGTCCCTTAGACATCGGGATCGGGGCCTGTCAGATTGGTATCAAAGAATACTTAGGACTTCATTCTTCCATTTGGTTATGGTAATCATAACCTTTCCTGTGGCCATAATCTTTCGTCCTTCTAAATATTGTTTGCCTCTTATCAAAATCATGGATCCTACTAGTGGGAATGTACATCGACGACCTCGTTCTGGTCTAATAGGAGAAATTCAGCAGTTGACCTCTACTCTACGAAATGTTTTTCCTGGTAGTAACAGGCCGAGTCGGACATATATGGAGATTGCTCGTAGCCACGGCGTTACGGAGCTTAATGTTGGAGCCTATGAAGAGGCTGAGGATTGGTTGGAAAAGATGCAGGACACCTTAGAGAGTATGAGATGCCCAACGTTTGAATGAATGAATACCGCTAGTTACTTCTTTCAGGGAAAAACGATGAACTGGTAGAAGTCAGTGACGGGCTCTCGCCCACGTAATTCCTTGATGACTTGGGCTACATTCAAGAAACTTTTCATCGCACACTTTTTTAGCCCTAGTTATCAGTTGAGGAAGAGACAAAAGTTCCTAGAGTTTCGCCAGGGCAATCTGAGTAGTACAGAGTTTGATAGAACTTTTCGGTACTTGTTGAGACATTATAAGAGAACCTATGGGAACCAGCGGGCGGTGATGATACAACTGTAGATTGCCATGAACCAGGACATTTACAAGCTCCTGGCACCACAGAGGTATGCCTCATACGAGGAGATGATTGGGGCAGCTTTGAGGGTCGAACAGACGAGGTGGAATAGAATTAACCAAAACCAGCCTCAAAACCAGAATAAGCGGGGTCGTGGATTCCGATCCCGCAGTATGAGGGAGTCTTCTACTTCTTCTAATTCCTTCGGCCCTAGACACTTTCAGTCGTTCATTCGACAGGGGCAGGGTTCAAGATCATCTAGTGAGAGCTTAGGCAGTAAGTCGACAAGGCGAGCTTTCAGCCACTTCAGTCTGGCAATCGCGGTTTATGCGCGTTGTGGTTTTCTCTATCAGGGGAATTACGTTGTGGTTACAGCCACGTGTCACATGTGTGATGGCACTGGGCACTATGTCCGTGATTGCCCTTCAGTGCCACCACCCGAGAGTTATGCTTCTGGTTTATGTTACGGTGGGGGAAGCAACCTAAATACTTAGTGTCACGCCCCGATCCCGACATACGTCCATGATCGACACATGACATAACCAAATTCCCGTTTCTCTAACATACCTCGCTTTCGGGATATGTACAAGCCTAATTCAATCCTCAAATTGTGTTGTAATTTTTGTATACTTTATGGCTGCATCTAACCTCCTCGTTAGACTGCCTACGTACCCTCAATAGGGATCAAGCCATTCATAGTTCACCATTCACAAAATCAGACATTTATCCCACTGAGCTCAAGCAGAAAAGCATAACATTCCTCAATCATTTAATATAACCTGATAACATGAAATTCCTGGGCTCAGGCTACATAACAAACCCTCATGAAATCATGATTTCTCTTCCATCCAACAAATAAATCATTATCACAATTCACAACATACATCATATTTAAGAACCGACGAAACACAAAACCATTCTCTAGCCACATTAATTAATTAATTTGATCAAAGTAATAAAATCATTCTCATATCTTCTAAATTCATACCTTATGAAATCATAATCGAATCGTAGAAAATCTCGAAGGAGTCACCCAGACGTCCAACATCTTTTCTAACTGAATTCACAAGATTCTCGAAACTATTGACACAAATATATATAAAACTAAGGCTAGAGTGACACAGTTATACCAAGTCTACTTCTCCAAATAATGGGATTTCATACCACTCTACGAAATCCAACAACCTCGGGTTCCGGACCACTCAACAGAACCAAACTAAATATGATCGCCTATCAAATGTACCAAGTACAACTAATCATCATCACCTTTAGAATGCGTATGGTCCCCCATCGTGGATATACCAAGCAGAACCATATGCATAATCTCATCATGCAGACAGGGATCACCTATCACTGATATACCAAGCATGACTGTTTCATATAACTCTAGGTAGTGATCACCCATTGCGGATATACCGAGCATGATCACTCCTAGCATACGTATGGTCCCCCATCGCGGATATACCAAGTAGGACCATCCATGTACCACTACTACATGGTGCGGTCTCATCATCACACATTATACCCAATTATACATATACACATTATTGATTCCACATATCAACCAGCATCTAGTCATATGGAGCACAACACAAGGAATTCCCCTAATTACTATTTCTACTAAAAATCTAATAAAGTACCTAACTCATCTCCTGACTTTCATCCCTATCACATACTAGGTAGTAATGCCAAGTTCAAATAGGTATTCAGTTGGCAATCATATCCAAATAATTATCAAACAATAATTAGATCTCATAATTGTCATAACATTCATCATAATTATCATTCACATTATTAAAAAGATAATTAAACACATATATATCACAAACATCATCAGTACACAAGCCAAATCATATGTAATAAGCATAGGTCTATGGCTAAATATATAAAAATCACATTTCAATATAAATCAAATTTATAAGACCAAATCATATTCACAAATGATACCAATATAAGAAATTAAGATAATAATCATATGTCATATATTCAAGTCACTATCTAACCAATGTAGGCCCACTAGACTTCAATTAGTCCCGTAGTACTAATTTTATTATTTAGAACGTTTCGAGATATGTTGACCACAAGTCAACTCTCGGTCAATGATAGGGTCCACAACTATACGTAATTCGATCTTGAAGATCTGCACATTGGATTTCTGATCCATAACTTCCCAAAGTCCACATCATGCTTCTAAAATAACATACTAACATTTCATTATGATCCAACAGTTGGATTGTCGTCAATCACACAAACAAGTAGCGGTCCAATTTGATCACCATACCAAACAATTGAATTTTGGGAAACCTAGCTAGACATAGGCTCACAGGGTTACTAGAAAGTATTTGGTACTTAGACAACACTCGTGGATGGTCCCACGCACCGCCACACGCGGTGGTAGCCAAGGTGGAGGGTTTTGAAAACCCAAATTTTCAACATTAACTAAATGAGCTCAAATTTACGTG